AAAAGCAAAACAGTCAGCCACTGGCTCTTACCTCTACCTCAGTCCGAAATGGCGACCCTGCCTTCAGGAATCCTCAGAATAGGACTGTGTCTTAGAGCTGTCTCCTCCCATCTTATAGTCCTCTCTAGTGCTGGGATTAAAGGCGTGTACCACTACTACCCAGTTTCCAATGCAAACTAGTGTGGCTACTTGGATTAAAGATGTCACCACTGTCTTGTCTGTAAGGCTGACCAGTGTGGCTGTTTTACTCTCTGATTAGGCAAGCATTATTTATTAAAATACAAATGAAATATCACTACAGAAGGGGACGCAGAAGCTCCTTTGGAGGTACAGAGCAAGTCTTGGGTTGGAGCACCAGCAGAACACCATTATTCCTCAGTGGAACAGAATCTCATGGGGCGAAAGACGGGCTAGGACACCCTGATGATAGCCAGACATCCTGCCTAGCTCAGTAACACCAGTCACTTGACCTAGCTGCTGGCAGGGCTCATGGAAGGCTTCTAGCTCACACAACCAGCTTAGAAGACGGGATGATGAACTAGAAAGCTAGATGAGAAGATGGCAGGATGTGAACCAAAACCCTTCCTGGACCCCGGAGGATCCATAGCTTGAACCTTAAGATCAACAGGGAACCAAAGATTGGGGAGTTCTGGGATTGTAGCTTCCTTCATTTGTCTGTACACAAACAGACGTGCGCACGCGCACACACACACACACACACACACACACAATGACTCCATTCACACCTTTGCCTTTACCTGTTAGGCCTCATTCTTGCTGTTCCTCCTGCCTGGAACTCTTGTCCTAGAAGCACAATTGGGTAGATGACAAATGATTAGACAGTCTTTCTCATTCTCTCTCTCTCTCTCTCTCTCTCTCTCTCTCTCTCTCTCTGTATGTCTCTGTAGCAAGAACATGGCTAGGGCATGTGAGAGGAATCAGGCTGGTTCTGGCCTGGGATTGACCAGTACTGAGGCCTCTAGTACCACATGCAGAATTCAGAACTAGAAAGAGGCCCGGCAGGGTCCTAGGCACCCTACTCTTTCCTGCCTGGTCTTCAGAGGACCCACTAGTCCTGTCCTTGTTGGGTTGAGCTTCAGGATGCCTGTCATAGTATCCTCTCTGGTGACTAAGACGGCATCCAGGGACTAAGGTCTCATAAGTCGTGAAAGATTTCATGCCATTCTTCCTCAGACTGTGGGCTAGGAGCCAGGAAGATGGTATCAGGAGGGGAAGCCCAGTTTGGTGCCCCATCCCTGTAATCAGGAAGGTTCCTGCTGGAAGATGTTTAGGCAAAGCCGAGCATCTGCTGGTCCAGCTGCCTGTGTGCCTAGGTAAATGTCTACCTAGCTTGGACCCCACCCCCAGGAGGTTCCACCATACCTACTAACCCCTCTCAAGACCCTTTGAGTATAGGCACACTCGTCGAGCCAGGAACACGGGAAGCCTGTACAGTATCTTCTCCTTCCGAAGGTACCAGGTAGGATACAGGCTGTGGGAACCCATGACTTAGTCACCAGGGCAAGCAGTCTCCCCAGCACTTGGCTGTACTAGGTACCAGAACAGGATAGTTCTAGGGTGGGTGTCAGGCTACGGAGCTTTAAGGCAAAGGGAACCCTGCTAGAGAGCCAGAGAGTCCTTACTGGAAGATCAAAGTCGACCCATAAGAAAAAGGGTATTGAACACTTGGGCTAGACCCTGGCACAGTCTAGCACTTATGGATCTTCTAGCTCTTTTGTTGACATTTTGTTAAATTGGTGGGAGGCCGGATTCCATCTAACTTACTCCGTGTGTTGGTGGCATTGCATCTGGCTGGGGACCAGAGTAGGCAGGGAGAGCAACACCCTGCCAGGATTAAACTTGCCTACCCCTGCTCCACAGTGAGCGCAGACACTTGTCACAGACTGAGAACTGATTCTGGCTAGAGATTAGCTCTCATCTTTCATACATGCTGAATCCCGATTTCACTCCCTTCCTACTGGGGCTTGGACCTGGAGTCTTTGCAAAGTAAATGCTAGGTAAGAACTCTACTGCCGAAGTATACCCCTAGTCCTCTCTTTTACTTACTTTTGAGACAAGATCTTGATAAGTTCCCTAGGCAGGTCTTGAATTTACAATCTTCCTGCCTTAGCCTCCTGAGAGCTAAGCTTCCAAGCCTGCAGGTCCAGACTGGTTTGGTCTCATTTACTTACTTACTTACTTACGTTTTAGACAGGGATTCACTATGTAGACCAAGCTGGCTGCCTTCAAACTTGTAATAATCCCCTGTCCTCTGACTTCTAAGTGCTAGGATTGAAGTGTGTATGTGCCACACGCCTGGCTCGCTAGACAGCTACAGCTTTTCTCACTGTGGCTCAACAAATTAACTTCTCCAGTTTGAGGGTTTGAGCCCAGTCTGGCCTGGAGGGTGCCAGAGGGGCAGACAGGAACCCAGCATCCTGAAGTGTGAGTAGGTCTCCCTCTTTATAATAGAGCCATCAGAAACAGGATCTTCCTCAGCCCGAGACTGCTGGGAAAGCAGTAGTCCTGCCCACCAGAAACAAATGGAGCAAAGCTCCATCCTCCTCCTCGAGGGCAGAGGCATCTTGGCAGCACCAGGGACACCAAGTAAGACCTAGGCATTCAGGGAACACAAGTGAGTTTGGAGAATAAAGGCACAGACATGTGTTTACAGGATTGGGGACAGGCCGTGGGGACTGGCGGAGGGCAACTTCAGGGAGAATGAGCATGGGGAACCAGGATTACAGGTGGGAGCTGTCAGAGCCAAAGTCGTCTCCTCTTCCTGGGAGGCATCTCTCCCATAGCATCCCTCATCCTCCAGGGATGGCAGGGAAGAGGCAGCAGCCCCCTGGGAAACAGCAGAGTAATGGCCTACAGGTAGCAAATGTCTAAGAAGCCAAGAGAACAGGCTGGGTGAGAAGGCCTGTAGAATGGTGGATATGTGACTTCGGGTAGAACTGTGCCATGTGTGATGGATTCCCCTCTTAGAAAACATTTCTAGTAGCTGTGTCTGTTGATACAAGGATCTAATCCCAGATAATAGGGCAGCTGAAGCAGGAAGCTTGCAAAGTCAAGAACTGTCTAGGTTATAGAGTGATTTCAAGGCCAACCTGAGCCACTGAGTGAGACCATGTCTCAAGATTTAAAAAAAGAAAACTTAAAGGGCTGGGAATATAACAGGCAGCGCCTTTGTGCAACGAGGCAAAGTCCTACTTCAACAGTCAGTTGAGCAAAATAAATAAATAGACAGACGACACCTTCAGGTAGGGAAGGGTATGCCCAAGTAGAAGGAGCTGGGGGTTTGTAGGATCCTGGCTGGGACTCCCCAGCCCAGTTGCTAATGAAGGATTCCCTCCTTCAGGTTCTGGTTATTTTCTCCCCATCCAGGTTCTACTGACCAAGAACAGTACTGACCCCTGGGAGAGGGTTGATCCTACAGAGCCCAGGACACCTGAGGGCCAAAGGCTGCCGAGCCTCTAGTAGTCCCTAAGAGTTAGAAGGCTAAGACCTGAGCCTGCTCCCTGTTTATCTCTGATCCAGGGGTGCTAAGAAGTTCAAGGCTGCTTAGGCCAGTCTCCAGCAGTGTGGGTGGACATGTCCTGGCTTTTTTTTTTCCTGTAATAATGACTGTGACCAAAAGCAGCTATGGGAGGAAAGGGTTTATTTGACTTCTGCATTACAGTCCATCAGGCAAAGCAAAAGCTGAACTCAGGGTGGGAACAGAGAGGCAGGAACTGAAGTGGAGGCCGTGGAGGAAGGCTGTGCACTGGTCTGTTCTCCACAGCTTCATCAGCCTGCTTTCTAATAAACCCCAGGACTACCTGCCCAGGCCTGGCACCACCCACATTAATCATTAATCAATAAAATGTCCCCAGAGGTTTGCCTAAAGATCAATATTATGTATTATGGAGGCTTTTTCTCAGTTGAGATTACTTCTTAGACGGCTCTAGCTTGTAACAAGTTGACAAAAAAAAAAAAAACATAAAAAAACTAACTGAAGCTAGAAAGGAGTCTAGGAAGAACCCTGCTACCCAAAGCCCCGCCACCTCCACATCCCTAGTACAAGGCTCTGGCCAGAACTCTAGGAAGGACCACTGGCATGAATGGGGCTATCTATCGTGATCTGCTATGATCCAGCCCCTCCCTGTCTGATAGAATGAAAGCTGGGGCAGGGGATTTGAGTGGAAGCTCGCTCTCTCTCTCTCTCTCTCTCTCTCTCTCACACACACACACACACACACACACACAGCTCCCACACCACAGTTAGCACCTTGCTACCCTCACACCCATCTCTGACTACCTCTGACCTTACAACCCCCACCACCAAAACACCACCGACTCTCCCTCCTCACCTAGACAAGAAAGGACACTCCTCATCCATCACAGTTCCAGGAATTGACCTGACTGGGGTGGTGAGAGAATAAGAAACGACAGACACTGTCACCTGCCCAGAAAAGCTGGGGTCGGGAGCACTGGGCTCTCTAATAGAGAAGCCAGAGTACCTCAGCATGTTTATTATATACGGTTGAACAGGGAGGTGGGCTCACTGCTTACAAGCTGAATCGAGGAGGTGGGGTTAATGCACACAGATAAACAAGAAATCAGGATTATTATATGCTACTGAACAAGGAGGCAGGTTTAATAAATCCCAGGAGAAGCAATCTGTAGGAGAGCCTCGCCGAGAGAAGGTTTTGCCATTTCCCATGGGGCTGAGACACTGGCGCCCCTCACACAGCCATGATCATGTCAACGGCATGCATCCACTCAGGACTTCACTCGCTCATGACTTCCTCCATGCCCACAAGGACATTAACTCTGGACAGATACTGGCATGAGGGGACAGCTGGGTGACGGGGATAGAACTCAGGGCATCTCACATTTTAGGCAAGAGCTCTATACCGAGTTCTATCCCAACCTGATGAGTTCTGTCTTTGTAAAGAACATCATTGTGTCTGTCGCCTGACGTTGCCTCCTTCGAAGTCTTGGCAGGAGCGTACAGCATGGACAAGCAGTGGTTTCCTGCAGCAGGAATTCTCTTGGCCAGTAAGTGAGTAGGGAAGGGCAAAGGGAGCTTGGTACCCTCTCCCCATCACCTGCTTACTTAGTAGGGAAGGGCAGAATCCTTCTCTTCGGTGAACTCCCAGAGTCCCACCTCAGGGCTTGCGTTCATTGTCTTCACATTTGTCTGGCCTTGACTGAGGGAAGCTTGGGAAAGATTGGAGACCTCAGGTTCCTTGAGAGCTCTCAGGGTCACCTGCTTGGAGCGCTATACACACATAGGTAGGCTTGGCGTTAACCTCAGAACCTTCAGAGATTTTCCACATATGTGCTCCATCACCCAGTCAGCCCCCAAGAAGAACCCCGAATGCAGGAGCATGGTCAGGTCACAGTCTCACCCACAATGGAGAAGCAGACAGTATTTTCAGTACCATCAGGCTAGTCTGGGCCTCAGACGTGGTTCGAATAGAATAGTTGAAGAAGACTCTCAACTCTTGGCAACCAGTTGAGCCTGGGAGACTTCTTCTTGGGAAGGTCCTTGACATGGAGTTTGTTAAGAGGGCAGAAAGACAAATCCTGAAGAGGTGTCCCATTGCCCTCACAGGGTCCATTCCTGGGCTGGCTAACACAGGAATGCCTTTACCTCCACCCAGGACCATGTCACGGAGGGAAGATAAGTGACTAACTTCGTGGTTTGGGGCCTAACAAGGCCCAGGTATTACTCTCAGGCACCTAAGTGAGCAACATGTGACAGGGTGAGATCTGAGAGGTTAGGGGTCAATCCTGCCCACCCGACACTGGAGAACCAGGCCTGTCTTGCTTTGCAGCCTTCCTGGTAGTCTCGGCTTCTACCCTGGCCCTTCTTTCTACGCATGAAGACCTTAAGGAACTTCCTTCAGCCCCTGGCATATCTGCTCAGCAAAGTAGCAGCATCCTGAACATCCTAACAGAACCTATTGGCGGCATTATCTCAGTTGAGAAGAATTCAGAGGCCCTGGAGAAGAGGGCAGGAGCCCTTTCTAAAGGGGCAGCAGGAGGCCAGGAGGCCCCCTCAATGTCTGGCCCCTTAGGAAGTACCAGGCCCTCAGAGAGAGGCATACCCAGCCCAATCCCCTCAGTACTGACCACATCTGCAGTCCATAGAACTGCTGATTCTCAGCCAGTGTCCTCTGTGGCTGACCCTGTAGAGGAAAACATGGCCTCTGGAGCTCTAGAAACAATTGCTATGTCATTGCCACAGCCTTCTCCCACACATGGATCTGAGAAGAAGTTCAGCAAGGTTCCCAAGTTGTCTTGGATAGTTCCTGCCTCTGCATCGCTGGAGACAAGCGTTGCACCTAAGTCAACATGCCATCCAGTCAGAGTGTTCCCTTTCCCCATATTTTCTAGAACTCCATGCCTGTTCCAGAACACCTTCAGTCCCACTGCGTGGAGGAAAGGCCACTCCAGGCCAGAGGCAACCCCATCTGAGGCTCCCAGGAGCTCCTCAGGACTGCCTAACTTTCCAAGGATGCCTAACACACTGAAAGCCACAGAGCTCCGGCTGCCTGCATCTTCAGGAGCATCCCGGCTGGGCCTGCCCTCCCAAGCCTTTACAGTGGGCTCTGGGTCAGCTGAAAACACTGTAGCTTTGGCCACAGACTCAGTATCCAGTGGTGCTTCTGTGCTGCTATTGCCCTCAGCAATGTCACCTTCACATCCATCTTCCCCCTGCTCCTCACCCTCCTCACCTTCATCCCCACCGCCTGCATCTCTGCCATTCTTCCCATCACCATCCTCAATCCCGGCCCCAATTTCCTCTGTCACCAGGGACCCTCCCAAATCTTCTGTGTCTGTGACTGCACCCTCCACTACAGACTCTTCCACTAAAACCTCAAACCTTGCACCCCTACAACCCAGCCACCCTGGGCCATGGGTTCCTACCAGCCCGATCCACCTGCTCACCTTCTCCCTCACCCCCCGTAGCTCTGGCTCCACAAAGTTATCTGAAGGTGCTGCTGCTTCCCTCTCCCCTACCCTGCCTCACCCTGGCCAAGATGTGTCTTTGCAGGACTTGAGTTTCTCCACTCCAGGACCTAGTCATGTGATTCACTCTGTGACCTTCAGGATCAACAGTGACCGCTTCACCACAGCTGACTGGAACCTGGTGGCCCTGAAGCGCCAGATGTTGGAGAGGTTTATCTGCTACCAGGTGTGGCACCTGCTCGCTGGGTAGAAGGGTGTGGATGAAGACAATCTTTCCTACTCTCCTTTCCTTCTGAGCATGCCAGGCACAGCACAACACACACTATACGGGTCTGGGCTCCTAAGAGCAGCTGGACACAAAATAATAAAATCTAACGAGTGCCAGGCAGTGCTCCCGGGAAGTCTGAGGAGAGGTTAGGCAGAAATACTTCTTAAAAGTCATTACGGAGGGAAAACCTCACAGTGGGGGAGGCCTCATCTACCAGAAATAGAGTAGGTTCTCGCAGTGCAGCTGCTGGTTTTTTATCAGCACACAGCCTTGTCTAGGAGTAAAAGGCCCTGGCAAAGTGAGGTACAGTTCCTGCCTCGATTCTGGAACCAGGGTCAGGGCATGCATCCTGGAAAGGAACTGCCATTTCTTACCTGTCATTCAGGGCATAATTTCCTGCCCACGGTTGAATGGTTCATTTCTTTAAGCACAGTACTTAGGTCTAATGGTGACCAAATTATAATCGTGGCAAGCTGTGGGAAGCAATATAGGAGGTTAGCAAACTGCTGGGCAATGTGCCTTGAGCACACTGGGTGACCGACCACCCTACCACAGCAATGGATCCTCTTTTTCTTTCTTTTTTTTTTCTAGTCTGTTTGTTGTTTTGAGACAAAATCTCACTGTGAAATATGGCTGGCCTGGAACTCATAATGTAGACCAGGCTTGCCTGGAACTCCCAGAAATCCATCTGCCTCTGCCTTCCAAGTACTAGGATAGCCCTCTTTTTGTTTTTCTGAGCTTTTTTTCTTTTCTTCTCTTTTCTTCTTTTCTTTTTTGAGATGGGTTTTTATGTAGCCAAACATGGCTTTCAAATGATCCTTAGGCATTCCTCTCCAAAGTGCTGTAAGGCTCAATGTTACCACATCTGGCCTGGTTGTGGTTTTTATGTCTATTTGGTTGATTGGGGTCTTTTTTGTTGTTGTTTTCATTTGTTGCTTGAATTTGTTTGTTTGCTTGAGAAGGTCCCCAACATATTGTCAGGCCAGGCTAACAGTGAACCTGCCTCAGCTTCCTAAGTGCAGGGACCGAAGGCATGGACTCCCACACCTGACAGTGGGGAGCATTTTAACTGGAGTGGAGAGAGGGGAGCCACATCAAACAGTGAAGGGCTTCCCAAGCACAGGGCAGAGGGAACACTGTCTGGGGGAACCCAAGTCGCAGAGGGGCTGGCAAAGGACTCTATGGTAAATGAGGATGGGAGTGGCAGCCCAGGCTGGCAGCTGGCAGGATGCAGAGCCAGGGTGACGGGATTACCGCAGTAAAACCTGCACATGTGCCCTGGACAGATGGATTCCACTTAGGATCTCAAAGTAATCACAAGCCTTGGGTTACCAAAGGGGAACAGCCCAGGAAAGGCCCAGCTGGACCAGGATCTGGGATGAGACCACTTTAGAGGCCAGGGCGGATGGAGGGACACAAGGCAGGGGTGGGCAGGCTGACTCCCATGTTTCTGCCTTAGCTCCAGCTTATCTATGATGAGGCCTTCTCCAGCTTCAAGAATGTCAGCGCCCTGCTGTTTCGGTGAGTGTGGTTCTCAGTTGAGCTATGCTGTTAGTAGCTGTAGCCTAGGCTGCTCAACCCTCCTCAAGTGACCAGGAACACCCTGGCCCAGATGGGTGGGGAAGAGGCCCACATCTGTTTCTGCTACCAGTGGGACTGCATGACCTCAGTTGGCCTTCCTGCTAGTTCCTAATTCCAGCTGTTGGGGGTGGGCAGTGGTAACAAGATTGTGAGAAGACAGGCAAAGAGTGCATCAAGCTACTTATTCTGGAGACAGGGTCATGTAAATGAGATGCAAATAAATGTAAATCCTTGGGTGGAACTCTCATTCTGGGCTGCTAGAAAAGTGAATTGCCTTCAGAGTTGGGGTGGGCAGTAGCTAGGCCATAATTCCAGCTGCTTCAAAATCGGTTTCCCTTTTGCTGAGTGGTGGTGGCACACATCTCAGCACACAGGCGGATCTCTGTGAGTTCGAGGCCACCCTGGTCTACAGAGTGAGTTCCAGAATAACCAGGGCTACACAGAGAAACCCTGTCTTGGGGAAAAAAAAAAATCCTTTTTTACAAACTGAAGTTCATGTCTGTGCCTTCCCTGCCCTGAGCCTGTTTTTATCTCCCCGGCTCTGGGATTGTACAGGTGCTCACGTGAAGGGCAAGTGGTATTACAGATTCTGATGTTGTTTCCAGGTCTCTCCATGAGAGCTGCCTCCCCTCCAGGCTTCCCTCTCTCTAGAGCCTCCTACCTGAATTGCAGCTGAAGTTTTTTCTGTGTCCACTAGACCTTCTGAGAGCTCCCAGCCAGCTCTGGCCTCTTTGAGTAACACCTTGGTCCAGTCTTTCCCCTGACCAGATTCCCAGTGTCTCTGTGAGAACCAGTTCGTTGAGGAGTTCAAGGGAATTCACTTTAACCGAGCATCTGCTGTGCGCTCACCTCCCTGCATCCTTCAGGCCTCACAGGCCCTTTTCCAACAGGAGTTTATCCCCATTTACCAAGGAGCCCCAGCACTGCAGGGGTCATGTGACTACCTCAGTCATGTGACTGCTTCAGTCCTGCAGGGCGGTTCCTCTCTGCAGTTATGAGCTGTCCTGTAGGCTTCTCTCCTTCAGCACACTGCCTTCCACAGCAGCCAGGCCTACCTTCTCCCCACTGGCCTCCTCCTACAGGCCTGATTCTACCGAAGTGCAGGCCTCCCTCGTGTTTGGTCAGCCGGATCCCAGAGCCCTAGAAATTCTCTGGACTTTATACCGCAAAGTGAAGGCCTCCAGGTGGTTGCTTGGGCACCTGTCCCTGACTGACAACAGCCTCTCCTCTGATGGTGAGTCTAGAGCAACGCCTGCCCCATGTCTCCTCACCTGATCATGGAGGAGGCTGGCTGGGTTCCTTGGAGGGAATCCGACTCAGTCTACCCAAGCCCTGAGTAGGCCATGGAGGGAAAGGTGGCTGTTCCAACTTCCCAGACCGCTGTATGTGGCTCCGCAGGGTACAACATAACAGACCTCTCCCGGGAAACTGTCAGCATCAGCTTCACCCTCATGAGGCCCTTCCTGCCCCAGCTGCTTCTGCCGAGTTCTCAAGCTTTTATCCTGTTGGAGAAGCAGGTCCTCCCACTGGTGAGGTGTCCTCTCCCTGCCTCCCTTGTCAGCAGGCCTATACAGCTGCTAGTGATAGACGCAATGATGCCCAGTGAAAGCAGCGCCAGCTTGGCATTTACGGGAAGGCAAGCGTGGAGGGAACCCAGCCCTGCCCTGGGGGGAAGCTGGCCGAGGAGGAGAAAGCTCCGAGAGAAGTCAGTGGCCAGGTTGTCACCAGATATCCCTGCCCAGGAGACCACACTAGAGATGGCCCTCGGGTCCTTATCTAGTGTCTGGCCCCACCCCATCCTGGGCCCCAGAACAGGCACCTCCAAAGCAATCTGACCTCCAGGGCTTCCTATAGGTCACCCCTGAGGTGTCAAGATTCTACAAGGCTGATCCCCAGGACCAGCCCCTCCTCCTGTTCAGGTAGGTTTAAGTATCCCATCCAGTATGCCCAGTCCTTCAGCCACCATATCCCCACTTACCCAGCCTACTTGGCTGCTCTCTTGGACACACATCACTAGGGAAGCTCCACCCCTAACCCAAAGTCAGGAGATACAGGTGTAGGCTGGAGACAGCCAAAAAGGACCTTGTCTAAGCGGGCTTGAGCCTGCCTCCTAGAGCTCTGCTCTTGGAGGTGGGAACAAAAGGGGTATACTTAGGAGCTCAACGCTTGCTTCTAGAAGCACATACTGGCAAAGAGCCCATGACTCTGCACTCTCCCATCCTTCTCCAGCAACGTGAACGAGTGGGTGAGCATTTACATGGAATACAAGTTCAAGAGCCCCGTCCCCACCCACCTCCAAGGCCTCGCTAGTTACTTAGCCCATCACATAACAGACCCCACCCTCCAGAAATCCAGCATGGTGGCCAATGGTGAGTGATCTCGGGCCCCATGTATGGCTCTGGGTCTGCCTCTCTCTCCAGGCCTCCCTGCCCCCTCTGAGAAGGAACAGAACTCTCAATAACAAAGCTTGTGTGCCAGCCCATAGGGAGAAAGTGGGCCCAGAGCTCTGTGGGAAACCTGGGCTAGAGATACCAGATGGTCCAGTCAACTCTCTGTCCTCCCTTAATCCTTAATGCGCCTAGAGAGGAGACAGCAGTGGGTCAGCTCTATTACCAGGGTCAGAATGGCGTGAAGACTGTCCCATGGAGTCTCTGAGAGGAAGATTTGAGCAGGCTTGTACATCCACGCTGGAGAAATCCAAGGTCTCTCAGTCTCCTGAAGCCACCACCTGGAGCTGTTCTGGGGCGGACCTTCAGTCTAGGAATGCAGACTCACCTAAGGGCTGTCCCGGCCACCTCTGTAGTCTCTCAGATTGAGTTACCGTCTGGTGGGCTCCGCTCTGTAGCTCCCAGAGACAGGGCCTTGGTTTGGGTCCCTGCCCCATCTTTCTCAGAGTTGACTTTCAACATATGATGTGCCTGCCCCATCAGCGCTGACCCTCAGAGACCCATCATCCCCTTAGCAGACAGTGGGACAACCCACTCCTCTTCAAGTAGGACTGTGCTATGTATTTCTGTAAGTCATTACAGAGCCCCTCCGGGGAGATCAGGGATTATAAAGAACCAGCAGCCAGTAAGATCTCCTGCTGTGAAGTCTGAGATCACAGACCATTGCTCTTAGACAGACTAGTAGAGCATGGGCTGGCAGGTTACCACAAAGGGTTAGAGAGTTAATATCTTTTGCCCTTTGTGGCTCCTAGCTCCTCCCTTATAGGGAGAACACTGCCCGCCCTCCAAGGCATGTCACAGCAAGTGAGCTGGCTGTGTTCCGGTACAATTTCATATACAAGCAAGCATGGAAATTGTGCATCAGATTCTTTTAATTCTATACAATTTCCTACTGCTGACATTTCTCATCCACTTAAAGACATAAGTCCATCTTACCTCATTAGTCTAACCAAAGCAGGCAGCCAAGATGGGCCCTCCGACCAAGTGCGCTTACCACTAGACAGAAGCAATGGGTTTGGGCCAGGGTGTGGTCCTACCCCAGAGCCCTCAGACGGGAGTCTTGGCTGCTGTCACCATCTCACCCCATCTCCTTAGGCAAGAAGGCAGAGCTGGCACTTTATGAGACATGGCTCCTGATCCTGGATCACCCCTTCATCAAGGCCTTGGACAACAAGACTAGTTCTGAGTCCCAGGAGCTTCGTGGCCTGCTGACAAAATGGGTGACTGAGGGGATGGAGGCGAGGAGAAAGGGTGTGTGGCTGGCCTAGGCTGTGCAGCCCAGTGACACTCTCCGTTGTCTTCTGACCTCAGCTGACCTCAGTCCTCCAGCCGCTGCAGAACTTTGGTCAAGTCGTGGTGGAAGAATTCCAGTGAGTCTTCAGTTCGGATCCTGGGGCTGGAGGAGAGGGTCTCTCTGCATCTCTCCAGCCCCCTGAAGCCTGTCATGATCCTCCCAGGCAGGAGCCACTGGCTGCCAAAGTGCAAGCTGCCTTCTTTGGAGCTGCACCTGCCCAGGCCATCATTCAAGACTGCATACACCAAGCCCTGAGTTTCCTGCAGGAAGCAGAGGGTCTCCAGTTCGAGATGTTCATCCCAGTCCTTGGTCAGTGCCTCTCTCTCTGCTCATGTCCTCCATCCCTCTGCTGTCTCTGGTCTTGCTGTTTCTGCCATGCTGCCCATTCCTCCTGCACACAGCATTGCATGGTCATGTTTGCTCTTACCCTTCCTGTGAGCCCCGGCTCAGAGCATCCTGGGACAGTCACCAGGCCTAGAAGTCTCTGAGGGCTTTGAGGATGGAAACACACTCAGCCTTTCCGTTCTGTTCCAGGCATACCCAGCTCCAGGGCCTCCAGAGGCCCCAGCCGTGGCTTCATGCCGAGCCTCCAGCTCATTACCTCTCTCCTGGTCCTGGTGAGTCTGGCCAGGCAAGGGCTCCTTCCGGAGAAACAGGTTGAGCCTTTGAGACCTTAACTCAAAGGGTCAGCAGCCTGCTATCCACCCGAATCTGAGTTCTCTTCCACGCCAGCTAGAGTGACATGCTTTCCACCGGGGGCTTAGGTTTGACCCCATGACTGCGCCTCCATAGTTCAGACTGGAGGACTGAAGCCACACCACAGCAGTGGCTGTGCCACACAAGTGTGGAGGCTCTGCTTCTGCCAGGCAAGCAGACGCTGGTCACCCTGGCTGGCCTCCGCATGATCTCCTAACCTTCTCCATTCACATGACGGGGTCTACCTGCCCTGCCTTGGGCAGAAGCCAAGGGGTGATCAGGATGACTCCTTCCAGAAGCCACTTGAGCTCTGGGCATGGGCGAGGGTGACAAAAGCCGAGCTTTGTCCACAAGGGGAGAACTGGGGCAGAGCATGAAGATGTGTCAAGCGGTAAGGATGCTGTCAGTGAGCACCCCTGGCCCTAGACCAGGTCCCAGATACTGCCAACTCGATTCCTGCCTGCCCTCCACCATGGCCCAAGGCCAGCAAGGAGGGGGAAGGCAGCACCAACCAGCAATTATTTGAGTGACAGTTCTCTCACCATGTAGCCCAGACTGGCCTTTACTGCATAGCCCACACTGGCCTCAGGTTTGCAGTGGGACTCCTGCCTAAGCTCCAACAGTAGGAATACAGACAGACATGTACTACCATGCTCCACTTTCTTTCCAGACTCCTGGCTTTTGTCTCTTTTCTATATCCCCAGGTGGCCCTTGGAACTGCTCCCCACCTCACCAAGAAGCAAACCCCATACCTCTCCTAAGTCACCTCATCTCACTTCACCTCACCTAGGGCTTCCAGACAGTACCTCAACCCTGAAGAGCCAAGTTGCAGGAGGCCAGAGCAGGAAGGACAAGCCTGGGACTGACTCTCCTCAAGCTCCCGCCGCACCCCCTTTACCCTGCATAAAACTGGGGAAAACACTCGCTCCTGTTGCAAAGCCAGTCCATTTGGGGCTTCACATCCCCTTAGCTCCCACCTCTCCAGGAGGTGAGCAATGGTTTCCTTCACATAAGGCCAAGCCCACAGGCTCCCTACACACAGGTGCGTTAGGACAAAAGGAGTCAAGTTCCATAGGACGTTCTGTCAGGGCCTGCTGCCACCACACACTACCCATGAAATGGGGACCACACTTAGGAAGATGAGAGACCAAGAGCCAATGCGTATACACAGAGCACGCAGGGCTAAAGTCGGGGCGAGTTTCCATGCTCATGGACACTGAACCCCTATGGTGGTCATCACAGCTTTGCCCAAGGATTTGTGTCCAGGCTACACAAGGAGCCCCATCTGCCTGCCAACCTCAGCGTGGCTCAGACACCCTGGTCAGTCAGAAAGGAGACTCTAACGCCCTAGCTGCTGAATAATGAGGACCCTAAAAGGCGGCAATGTCGGTGTTTGGAGGTGACAGCCAGGAAAGAAGCCCAAAAAGCATGCAAGACAAGAGTTGGAAAAAACAAAACAAAAACAAAAACCAGTACTTGCTGGCTGGGTGCCTGGAGTATGCACCTCAGCGGAGGCTGACAGGCGGGGCTGGAAGCACTCCTCCATTTCCAGCAGGGGGAACCCAAGAGACACTCAAGCCACCCTCCCTGCTGCTTTGGGAGGCTGACAGTGATCCAGCCCAACCCTCCTTAGCAAACCAGGGAAGGCAGAGCAGGTTAGCAAAGACAAAATCTCCACCACTACCGTCTTCCTGTTTGCCCTGGAACCACAACTCGGGAGAAAACTGCTCCTCCACTCACCTTGCCAACCCTGCTTGTCAGCAGAACGGCCTGCTGAGGCCCCCTGCCGCTTCTCTTGGGCTTTAATGCCAGGTTTCTCCATGCCAGTTTCAAGGACTTGAGCACCCTCCTGGCATTAGCCCGGTCAGGTGATGTGCTAGGGTTTAGCCCCTATCTCCTAAGGTAGAGTTGCTCAGGCAGGCCTGGGACAGGCCCTGGAGACCTGAGCAGGAGGCGGAGGGTCCCCACCAGCACACAAGTCCAGAGCTGACTCGAGTCTTCACACAGTCAATGGCTTTGTGTGACCCTGCAGCAAATCCTGTCCGTTAGGTTTCTCCATCTGAAATTTGAAGGAACATGGTGGTGATGTTACTCTTGAATCTCTGCTTCCCGAGTCAGCTTGGAAATTTTATTAAACCTCATACCTACCTTCCTAGCACCTGGAGGCTGAGGCGGGATAGTTATAAGTTCGAGGCCAGCCTAGGGATGTATTAACAGACTTAAAGGGCATTAGTGACGGGCTCACAATCAGGAGCTTGTGACACTAGTTTCGGTGAAGGACCGCAAAGCTGCTGAAGCCAAGTACAAGTCTCTCTAGCCTTGGGTAGATATGGCATCCTGAAGGGCCAGTCATCTAACAAGGGAACAAGCATAGACGATTGACACCCCTTTCCTGGTGGTTCCTGTGAGACTTATGCCATAGTGTGGTTCCTATTCCCACCAATTTTGAATGCGAGGTGCTGGATCTAGATGCAGTTTCAACATAACCCCTCAAGGGTTCACATGTGGAAATTTAATCCCCATTGTGACGGGGAATTCAATCCAGCTATTGTGTTTAAGGGGGGTGTGTTTGAGACGATTAAAATCAGACGGAGCCCCATGACCTAGCACTGGCGGCTCTATAGACCGCCCCAAGGACGCACATGCATGTATGTGCTCTTGCCATGTGGTGTCCTGACCCACCCCAGGATTCTGCCAGCGAGATTGCCAGCACCAGATGTGGCTGCTCAACCCTGGACCTCTGAACCACTGCCCAAGGCTGTGTGTGGTAACACACATATATACCCAGAACGAGGCGGCTGGGGCAGGAAGATTGCTCGGATTTTTAGGCCCGGTCATTAGAACTTCTGCCATGGTGGTACTGGTGAGAGAAAAGGCATTCACACGCTACAGACTGGCTCTCTAGGGCCTGCACAAGGAAAATGGCAGCTACCACTTCAAATCCCAGGTTCTCCAGGTCAGGCTCAGTCTGCTAGTGCAGCTGGGAACAGGCTAGCTGCACACAGCCCTGGTGAGCGCTGGTGAACTGGTTCCAGCGAGATGGAAGAAAGCCTTGTGCCTGAAAATGGCCAGGGTGGGGGTATAGAGGGTGGGTCTAGAAACACCACTGGTAGAGTTGATGGGACACGCAGGGTGGGGTGACAGTTCCAGACTTTAGCGGGCACATCTTCAGTCCTAGGAGACAGGCACACGGATATGGTGACCAATGGTCTTTCCCAGGTTGGAGTGGCTAGCCAGTAGGTGTGAGAAGGACCAGATGCGATGCACAGCCGAGTACCAGAAGCCTTGGTACATGCTGGGCAGGAGGAAGGGGGCAGCCTATCGGTAAAGGACGATATGCAACAGTAACATCCCCTCAAAAACAAGCTAGGACCCAGTTCTAAAAACAACCCAAATGCTTTAATAGCTGGCCCCCAGTCTCATCAAAACCCTTATATAAGGCAGAAGCCGCAGCTTGCCAGTCACCAGCTGAGCTCAGCCCAGTATAGGGAGGTGGCCCCAGTCTATCTTGAGAGACCTCGCATTGAGTTGACACAGCCTGTCAGGTCCCTGTAGCTGCTTGTTACTTTATTGGGGTGTGAGATGCAGCCCAGATAGGTCATGAATATGAATATAGAGCAGACTCAGGGTCTTCAGGCTAGGTCCCTGCACCAGCAGTGGATACAGGGAAGTGTGTACAAGCTATTATGTACCACTCTAAGGTAACCAGGTCCCGAAACACATGAAGACTTGACAAGAAGGTTCTGCCAGCCTCAGGCTCATTATCCCACAGCCTGACTGAGGTCAAAGGCCTGTCCCAGGCAAGAAGCAGACCAAATCATAATAGGTTTATGTCAGACATCATCCCACAACAACCCTTGTGAGGTAGGCTGTGTTGTCTTATTCTACAAATGGGGAGCAAAGGCTCATAAGAGGTGAAGTGTTTGCCCAAGACACGCAACAAGGAACACAGCAGCCAGATTCAAGGCCAAGTCAGGTTGGCTCCAATGCCCACAGGATTCTCAAGGGAAGGAATCCTTTCCAAAGATCGAAGTTCAAAAGTCTCTGCCCTGTTAGGTGGGCCCAGCCCTATTATCCACTCCTAGCCCTGGGCAGTTGGATGTTAGGACAGGTACACAGTGGTCCCCAGGTGGTTGATTGTCCCAACACTAGCTACCAATGCTACAGGTGATGGCTCTGGCTGCCCAGGAGCTGGGGGTGAGGTGAAGGCCGGTCTGGTCCTGAGGCCTTGTGGCCCCACGTAGGTAGTGCCACACCATTGAGCCAGGCGTTTTCCAACAGGCTGCGGAAGCGTGCCCTCAAGGTGGGGCCTGGTGGGCTGGTGCTGGTGCCAGAGCTAGGTGAGGGATCACGTGATCCTTCCCCACTGGTCGTCTCGGCTTTCTCAGGGCCAGGCGTTGGTGGCTTCTTCCCTGGCTTCCTGACCTTGGGGGCTGGTGACTTATGAGCCAGGGCTTGGCTTTCTGGCTCATCTCTGGTCACTGCGGGTTCTGATGGCAATAAAGTTCTGGCCTCAGTTTCAAAGCCACCTACAAAAGAGAAGCATAGTCAGACTGTAAAATTAAAACTTCAAGGTCTCATTTCCTAGCCTCAAAGTCACCTAAAGCAAGGTTTTGCTTGCCCCGGAACAGCAGATGGGACCACTCCATGTCACCACCGTCACAGGCAGCCCGTCTTCACATGTGGCCATTGACCAGACCAGTGGGAGCTTGCTGAAAAGTCACGCTCCTTCCCAAGGGGCACCAGAGCTCCACCCGATGAGGATGCAACTCAGAAGCTGCTGCTTGGGAGCAAAACTGAGATGAAAGGATGCTTGCAGGTTAGGAAACACTGGCTGGGCATCTCACCAAAGAGGAGGCTGTGCACACGAGAGCCATCATCTTTCTGCCAAAAAAAAAAAAAAAAAAAAAAAAAAAAAAAAAAAAACCAGGGCAGAAGCCAAAGACCAGGCTGCCAGGAAAACAGTAGAGATGGAGAAAGACTCCTTAGGCTTCCAGGAGAGCACAGGAATCTAAACAGAAGCAAACCTGATAAGCACCTCTAAGAAAAGGTCATTAGACAACACCCACACTCAGGGGTCATGAGAACCAGTGCTCTAGGGGCACCCACAGCTCAGGGAGGGTCCCCGCTCCATGGCAGTACTTGCCTCAGGCCTTTCCCACCTTGACCTGGGCTGTCCTGGTCCAGGAGGCCCACGGCAGAGTGCCGAGCTAGTTAAGGAAATAGAATGTTTTGCTCAGGAAATGGCTGAGTGAGGGGCTGGGTGGCAGGAGTGTGCGACAGCAGGCAGTAGACTCTGGAATCTAGGAACCAGTTTACTGACACAGAGAAAGCCAGGCCATCCTCACCTTGTCATTGCCTAGGAAACTGGAGTGTCCCTAACACACAACAGCGCAGCACATGTGTCCTCCAGGACATGAAAAGTTAAAAATGAAAATAGAGGCACGTTCCACAGCTGAGCAATGGTGGCATATGCCCGTATCAGGTACTAGCGAGACAGGAGCATCATGAGTTTGAGGATACTCTGGATTATATGATGGCATGCTTTCAAAACCAGAGTGCTACTGAAGAAGCAGGACGATGCATCATTGTGAAGGAAAGGGGAGCCACAAACAATTCTCCAATCCAGGGCAACATGGGTGTATGAAAGTGCCAGGAGACAAGAGAAAATATGCATTCAAAGGTATGTGCTTATGTGGAGCATGGAGCCCTGCCAGATCCTGGGCGTGGAAGGTGAACAAGGATGCTTTACCAGGATTGAAAAGACTGCAGGCGGGAAGTAAGCCCAGAGCAAAGCTGAGGCCTGTGGATTGGGATGAGTATAAAGCAGGCCCAGGTGCCAAGGGACAGAACTCAGCAGGTTATTTAGGACTAGTGCTCAGAAGGAAGACACTGGAAGGAGAAAACTTGGGGTGGAAAACATGGCCTGGCCAAAGTGCCAGCTGCCTACACAAGACATAGAAATTGCAAATCCCGGGCTGTAGAGATGGTTCAGTGGTTAAGAGCACTGCCTGCCCTTCCGAAGGTCCTGAGTTCAGTTCCCAGCAACCACCCACGTGGTGGCTCACAACCATTTGTGGTGAGATCTGGAGCCCTCTTCCGGCCTGCAGGCACACATGCAGACAGAATACCAAGACTACTGTATACATGATAAATAAATAAATCTTAAAACAAAATAAAGAAAAAAATTTGCAAATCCAGAAGGTGAAGAACATTTCCATGTAAACAGATCTCATTGATGCCTAAATGGTCAAGAAGGCAAGGAAAGTCCTCGAGTCCCTGGAACCCCACCCTTTGCTGTAGCCTAAGTTTCTGGAATCATTCAGACCCTTGCCCATCGTCCACACGAGCAGTACACACACCTGTCACTCGCTCACATGCTCCAGGGCTACAGAGCTGCCCCATGCTCACCCAGCTGCCGGCGTACACAGTCATGCCACTGCAGGCCCAGCAGGTCAGGGTAGATATCAGGCAGCTGGCGCAGTGCCAGCAGCTTCAGCATGCGTGAGGTGCAGCCATGCAAGGCGCGCTCACGCAAGGCACGCTCCTCTGAGAGCGTGGTGGGCCGTAGCTCCACACGGTGCTCCTGCAGCACATGGTCCACAGAGGCAGGCGGCAACTTTGGAAAGAGGCGCTCCTTCACCAGATGGATGGGCACAAAGATGGCACCCGCTCGTACCACGTGGGGGAAGGGGCACTGCTGTGTGCACAGAAACCTCTGCAGCTGCGACAGCAGCTTGTCTAGTAGCCCCTGCACACCCTGGCAGTCCTGCCACGCAGCCTGGCCCCATGGTCCCGTGGTCTCAAGCCACTCGCGCAGTTTCTCTGGCGGAGAGTGGGCCACAGCGCCCGAGATGGCATCACAGAGGGACGTGTGCAGTCCTGTAAAGTGCTGTTCTAGGGAGTCTGCTCGGGCTGCAGTGGAGACCTGAGCAGTGGCGGGAGCAGGGCCTGAGGCTGGGGCGGGGGCCGGAGCTGGTGATGGAGCAGGAGCAG